GCAATTGCTTGTTTAAACATGAGAAAGTAATTAAATGTCAGTAAATTATAAAATACAAAGCATGGCTAGAATATATATATATACTGTATATATATAGAGAGAGAGATAGATAGATAGATAGATAGATAGATAGATAGATAGATAGATAGACAAATGTGATAAAGTTAAGTTGATGTTTACTTTGACCTAAGCCAACTAAACTTAATTAAAAACTATAATAATAATAATATAATATAATAATAATAAATTCTTTTTTTCCCTTTTTATTTTGAGTGTACAGGCGAAAACACTATTTTGAGGTTTTGGGCTTTTTTACTTTTCATAAAGTGTTATTTCAAACTAGTGGTAAGAAAACATACAAAATACACTTTTATGTGTTGCTTTTATTGTATTTTTTTGTATGGGTCAAAATGTATAGATTTTTCTTTTATATCAAAAATCATTAGGATATTAAGTAAAGATCGTATTCCATGAAGTTATTTTGTAAATTTCTTACCATAAATATATCAAAACTTAATTTTTGGTTAGTAATATGTATTGCTAAGAGCTTTATTTGGACAACTTTAAAGGCGGTTTTCTCAATATTTTTTGCACCCTCAGATTCCGTAAGCTTATTTATTCAGCTTTCAGATGATGTATAAATCTCAATTTCAAACAATTGACCCTTATGACTGGTTTTGTTGTCTAGGGTCACATATATATTTCACCCAATTTTATACAACATTTTTTCCTAAAAATAAGGTGATTTTTTTCTGGCTGTTGACACTATTTGGTCCCACTTTATATTAGGTGGCCTTAACTACTATGTACTTACATAAAAATAAGTACAATATACTGCTATTGAGGTAGGATACGGGTAAAGTTAGGGACCGGTTTTGGTGGTATGGGTAGGTTTAAGTGTTTGTTAAGGTTTAAGGAATGTGTCAAAAGTGTAATTATAAATATAATTACAGAAATTAATTACAGGTGTAATTACATGCAGGTATTTTTTAAAATATAAGTACAATGTACATGCATGTACACAATAAGTGCATTGGATCAACTGATTAATTTAAATCTAAGTACTAGCAGTTAAGGCCACCTATAAAGTGGGACATTTCTGGGTTTATGGAGTGATGAAAAGAGACATCCAAAATCTCCTCTGTAAAAACCTTTGAATGTATGTCAGCAGAATTAAAATAAAAATCATAATAATTTATGCAAATTCGTGCATATTTGATTAAATAATGCATCATTTGCATATTTAAATATAACATTTCAGAAAACTTGTAATACAAATAAAAATGTTTGCAATTCTTAATGTAGTAAATCAACTGGGGAAAATATGGTGATATCTATTAGTTAAGGGACAGTTTACCCCCCAATTCAATTCAGTTCAATTCAGTAATCATTTATTCATCTCATGTTGTTTAAAACCTGTACAGTATGTCTTTCGTTCTTCTGCAGAGGACCAAGGAAGATATTTTGAAGACTGCTGGGGTCCAAAAAATATTGGACATTGTTGACTTTCAGTGTATCAATATAAGAAAACAAGTCATGCAGCTTTAGAACAACATAATAGTGAGTAATTTTTTTTTAAATTTATTTATTGAATTTTTTTCTTGGGCCATCTACCCTTTTAGCTAAACCATTGTTCATTACCTACAGAATTTTTTTTTTTTTTTTTTTTTAGCCATTGCTATTGTCATTTTTTCAATGGCTATTTGATTTTTCTGTTAAATTTTAGCTACACGCTATACTTGAAGTCCATCAATTGCATCCTTCACAAGTATTTTTATATGGGTGTTTTAAGCCCAAGTTTTGTGCAAGCGCTCCTATAGCACAACTGGTGGAGAACACATTAACAGTGCTACTCACATCAGTACAAACTGATGTATACTGTACCTGACTGTACTGCATGTCATTTTGAATTTGGTATCTGCCTAATTCAAAATCGCAAAATGTATAAACTACTAACCTGTTATCACACTTAGCTACATAACATGTTTTTTTGCAGTGAAACCATGGCTATGTGAAGATAACAACCTAGCCGCGGCTCGTTGCCACACTTGCTTGATTTAAAAGTTATCAGAATATGTTTTTTTCCCATATAATCCGTTTCCATATAACCACAAATCACCTCGGCTACAAAAACCTTGAACATTCTCACAGTTATTGCCAAAGTTCATTAACACATATTGCCTCGATAATGGGGCCTGTTATCAAACTATATGGAGCAAGTTGTCACAATGGAACCTGCTATTAAATCGCCTTTTCTAAACTTGTCTGCAAAATGTAAATAGTAAAACAGCTAGCAAACACAAATTCAAGAAGCAGAAGGAAGGTAAAAGGTAACATACAAAACATTTTAGTTTGAAGAACAGAATTCAACTGAATTCTATTAATTTTAAAGAGTTTTAGGAGTTTGAAACGACCATATAAAACCACTGCCAGATAAACACACATATTGTAAATTAGATTTTTATATAAATCCTCATATAGTAACTCACAAGTAGGCCTATTGTTTCCTGTTTTACAGGAGTAAAAACATAATACAGGCTCAGAGTAAAATCTCACAGAACTTTCTCATCACTCATGAGGTGTTACACCATCATGACTCATCTGCTAGTAGTCAAAACAAAAAGAGCTCTCTGTTGTGAAATGACATTGGTAGTATATGATCAATGAATTTTTAATGGAGTCTAACATAGAAATTTTTTTATCAGTGTTACTATATTTTAAATGTTACATTTGTTGTCCTTTGTATCAAAAGGAGATTCGGTTGGAACGTTTAAAATAACTGTCAAATCTGGAGTAATTTTGTACTGAGATTGTATGAGATCATCTGTTCAGTGAACCATCACACAGTTCTACCTCGACAAGAGCAGCAAAGCGTTCAGGTAACAATTCATCCGTTCTAACTAACAGCAGAGCACATGTACAAAATGTAACTTTTCACTAAAATCTGAATTTCCAATAATCTTTTAGGGGGAACCACATGACGTACCTGGACTATCACAGCGATTCGTAAAGTATATCTGCACATATTTAGGAAATACACATCAGTATCAGGCTTGTGTACGTACCTCAAGAAGCATGCGCGACTTCCCTCGTGTGTTGATGGCAGTTAATCTGGCATGACTGTTAGACGCAGGAAACTTTTTGATGAGAGGAAGTACACCGCCTGACTAAGTTATTCAATTCGATCAAAATCTAGTAAGCTTAGAGGTACACATATGTGAAATGTAACAACATATTCCATGCTTCCAAATTTATCTTATAAATTGACCACATTTCTAAGATTACATAGAGTTTCATCATCAAAGATATAACAACTATTAATTCATCGGTTCAGTGGTATTCACAAACAAAACTGAATTTACAGCATCCACAGAGGAAGTTCCTCTAATGTCATGCTGGTTTTACACAGTTTCTTTTCCTCATTAATGATGTGTGTCTTTTAATGTTTTGTTGGATTGGATTTTTAAACATCTGCTAAGGTGAAATTGATGTGGTAGGATGTGGTGAAGGCAATATGCCACATAAACCAGTAAAATAAAGGCACACACCTTTCTTCAAGCCAAGCACAAGTACTCTGAGGGGTCCCACCCAATCAAACTGTGAAATGATCAATTCACTTTTGAGATACGCCAAATGAACTTACTTGTATTAGCATTAATACAAACCTCAGTGTTTCTTTGGTCAGGCCTGTAAAATCCCATGTGGATATATAGAAATCGAAAGTATGTATTGAATAGATTTTTACAAAAGAAAAACAAAAAGAAACTGTAATGCAGAAACTCATTCGGGGGGTTTTATCAGCGTCATACCTAGTTTCCTGTTTGCTTTATGAGCTTAACTTTTATGTTGGTTATTCATGCATTTTACTAGACAACACACTAACCGAAAATAAGCATTTTATTTTGGAGTAAGGGGAACTGTTATTTGCTTTTACTACTGACTGACTATAGATAACTGCCATTAGTGACAGTATAGGATGTGTTTATCACATCTTCCATCAATGCTCCTTCACTGAGAACAAGAAAGCAGTGGTGATAGGTATGCAAAAACCAGACTAAGAAGTAAAATTAGAGGTAAAAAGTCATGCCGCGAAAGACACAGGAAGACATTATGACTTGTTTTCTCAGTTTGAAAGTGTGGGAACTAAAGGAGTAGTATGAGAAACTGCAAATTACATTAATTTCCATCTTTTCAGTGCAAACTGATTCTGGTTTAGAGTTGACTCACAAAGAGCAGACTTCAGCTGCTGAGCTGTTTTGCAAGCAAAGGCCATAAATCTTAAGAAATCCAGCCTTAAGAAAAAGTTGTTTTTTTACATTGTTCAATTTAATCAAAGTGTAGAAGTCAAAATACAGGTTACAAATTTAAATGTTTAAAGTAAAGAATCATAAGAAATAATAATGAAATTCAAATAATACTTTATATAATCATATACCTTTATTGTACACAAATGGTCAAGCCATCAAATACAGTTTCACATTTTTAAAGTATTCTACAGAGTTCACTTTTTTTGTTGGAATCAACAATAATTCTAAAAACCTGTAGGCTATTTTAATAACAGACGGGATCTTTAAGTGCAAATCAAAGGTAAGGCATGTAGCCTCCCACCACCGAATGACTGCAATTTCTCAAAAACATGCACACTGTTCAGAAATATCACAAAACCTGTTATTTGACCTAACAGAAGATGATTTTAACAAACAATTTTTTGTTCTTTTTGGCCCGCAGGTAAAACGATGCTCTGACATTTGCTATATCCTGTTGTGAGATATATTTGTTAATACAGAAAAACCACAATGTCTATACATCAGGGACAACAGAGGCATCATTCAAAGGCATTACAGTGTGAAAGTGTAAAAATTAAGAGTTGCATGCTTAAATGTTTCATTAATACAATGTAGCATTTTTATATTCCTAAAGAAAAAAAATATGTCTCTGTTCCCCATCCCACATTACATATATTTAAAATACAGATTTCACAACACATACGGCTTTCTTTACAGTAAAATCTCTCTCTCTATATATATATCTATATTCTTTTGTTTAACGGAATCCATTTCTTGCACTACAAAAGGCATACAAATCTGATCTGAGGTATTGTTGTCACTGAAGTGGTATGAATCCTTGATAAGCGTTCAGAAGCCGATCAGTTTAGATTTATGACACTGCTGACTTTGTGTATAAAATATTAAGTGGGGATTTCAATGCACTATACTCACACATAGATTCAAGAGACGGAAAACAAGGTTGATCTTGACTGTTCTTTCCATACTGGCATGACCCTTGCTTCTGAAAGTAGACTTCTTCCTGTCTTGGTCTTTTTTTCACTCATCGGCACTCTTCTCTGAGCCTGTTCCAATGACCGTCTTGTAGCAGTGTTCTCCTCCGTGTTCAGGAGAGATTGGTGGGAAGTCAAATGTCTTGTTCCCAGAGCCCATTCGCTTGCGGTTTCTAGCACCAGGTTGGTACAGCTGCATTGCCGGTCGGTCCTGTGCCGTGAAATGAGTAAGACACAAAAGACAAAAGCAATACACTCATATTTCATACCACAAACACAGATTTTTCTCATGACAGGTTACTTAAGAAAGTGCTATTCATGCATATAATCAATTTCCGTCCCCTTCTGAATCACATTTCAGTTAGGCAGACAACCAGCTATTGACAGCCCCTCAAAATCCATTTAGTCCATAACAAAAACATTTTACTGCACTGTATCTGTTATGCTGTTTTTTGCATTTAACATGGTTTGTATTTATGGTGGTGGTGATGGGGGTGACACATAATGGCTAAAGCTCAGGGCTAGTAACCGGACTACTGTTGCTATCATCGCTTCAGAAAATATGTGTAAGTCACTTTGGATAAAATCATCTGCTAAATGACTACTTACTACTTGTATAAACAGAATCCAGCATGTAATCATTTCAATGTGCAAGATCATATGTATTCTTCTATATACATGTAGGATCTGTTCCAAAACCAAGTGAAATGCTATTTACTGTCTACACAGGAAGCAGCCTTTTAAGACAACACTCTACATATGCTTTACATAGGCAGCAATCACACAAATAGTGCTCCTCATCAAAAACATATTGGGAAAAATTTAATTTTTATATATGATTAAATACTTTTTATCCACACCTTTCACTATACATAGTGTATAAAAATTTAGTGGATAAATATGGTTTAACTGAAATTTCTCTTGCTGTCTTGGATGGATTAAATAGACCTAGATTTTAAACAGTTTTTTTTTTTTTTACATTTTAAAGTCCTTAAAGGGTTAGTTCACCCAAAAATGAAAATTAGCCCATAAATTACTCACCTTCAAGTCATCCTAGGTGTATATGACTTTCTTCTTTCAGTTAAATCCAGTCTGAGTTATATTAAAAATTGTCTTTGATCTTTCAAGTTGTTTAATGCCACTCAGTGGGTGTTGCATGCATCAGTCCAAAATAAGTTAAATAAAAAGCACCCATCCATAAAAAAAGTGTCTCACACAGCTCCGGGGGGTGAACTAAGGCCTCCTGTAGCGAATCGATGCGTTTTTGTAAGAAAAATATCCATATTCAAAACGTAATAATCACTTTAATATAGCTTGCACCAACAGTTGTACACGGAAGCAGCTCCGGGCTGATGCGTATGAGTTCAGCTTTGCGCATGCACCGGTGAGTCTCGTGAAAACCAACATTTCTTAACAGGTGCAAAGGCAGCAAAGTTTCCTTACTTTAGCAAAGGAAAACCGTCTCCTCTTGGCTTATATCGAAATCCTCCGACATTCTTCTTTACAAATCCTCGTTTTGTACTTCTAATAAGTGACCGTTGTTTTGTTTAGATCTCTCCGCTGCACTTCCGCGTTCGTCACTTCTGAGCGGCGCATGCGCAAAGCCAACCTCATACGTCATCCGCCCGGAGCTGCTTCCGTGTACAACAGTGAGCGCAAGCTAGATTAAAGTGATTATTACGTTTTGAATATGGATATTTTTCTTACATAAATGCATCGATTCGCTACAGGAGGCCTTTGTTCACCCCCCGGAGCCGTGTGAGACACTTTTTTTTAAATGGATGGGCACTTTTTATTTAACTTCTTTTGGACTGATGCATGCAACACCCGCTGAGTGGCATTAAACAGCTTGAAAGATCAAAGACAATTTTTTATATAACTCCGACTGGATTCGTCTGAAAGAAAGTCATATACACCTAGGATGACTTGAGGCTGAACTAACCCTTTAAACTTTTATTTTCAGGTTGAAAAAAAATATTTGATTTAACTAACTATAATTTACTCGATGTTTCTCTCACCTCATCCACCATCTAGGATAGATTTATTTTCTCTGAAAAAGCAGAATCTTAAATATTTATTCTTCACTTTATGAAATAACGTTTCTATGTTTTAAATGTTTCAAAATCCTTAAAATCCACATTTAATTTTTTCCCCTGGTTTAAATGAGATGTTGAATCTAATTTATACATTTTAAAACTAAATTTATAATTTACGGTTTTCCTGCCTCGTCTGCTATCTTGAATGGATATCCCCCCTGCAATATAGCAGATATTTTTTAAGATTTTATATAATTTTTATAATGTTATATTTTTATATGACATTTAAAAATCTTTATTTTTTTATTTCTAGGTTTAAATGAGTTGTTGCATCTCATTTATACATTTTACACTATATTTCTAATGGACATTCCTCATCTGCCATCTTAAATGAATCCCCCACACCATCTCTACATTGGGAGCTAGATGCATACGATGCCTTAAAATGCTGCCCATGCAGGCAACTCACTACGTTTTGGAACAGAGCCGTAGTTTTCATTTTTATAAGCTTCTTCTATTGGGAACCACTCCTCATCTGTGCCATTACAGCATTAGCAACATTCTGCTGTCAACAAGCACGCCTGGCACTGTAAGGTGCACGGCCTCTCAGTAAACAGCATGTGTAGCATCCCCTCCCGTGGGTAGAAAGGCTCAAAAACTAGCTGTACCTTTGCTGGCAGAGCCCCTCCTATCTGGTCTGGCCCCTCAGACTGGGAAGTCCTTTTCTCCTGATGCACTAACACAGACTGAGAGACACGTTGTCTTCCGTCAATAATATTGCCAACAGCCAAATTACAGCTAACTACCTCAACACATCAGTGTAGGCTGCATTGAAAGCCCCTGGAGGGAGGCAGATTCGTATTGTATTTCCCACAGACATAATGATGTATAAATCAACTACAGATGTGTAAATATTGAATGCATTAGTGGATTCATCTGCTACACAGACCGGACAAACTGACTGATGACAATAACTGTACATAATACCAGAACCAGGGCTGCAAATGGACTGTGACTGTGAGATATCGCTACTCCGTTAGCATTTATTTACCTTATTGCGAATCCGTTCTTTCCTGCTGCCCATGTCCTCTCGATCCTCCTTGCCCAGTTTGTCTCCGGTCTCTGGGCAGTAAGAATAGCCATGATGTTGGTCTTTCTTGGCTCTGTCCTGGCAGTAGCCTTTACCCCATTTGGTCTCCTCCTTGCGTCGCATGAATTTGTCAAACTCGTAGTGATGCCTCTGTCGTTTGCGCTCCTCATCTCTGCCGCGATGCTCTTTGTCCCTCTGGCGACGGCCGTGACCTTCCCGCTGCTCCTTGTCACTCTCGATTTGACTCCTACTATTTGATTAAGATTTGATTTTTGATTACAAGGTCAACATATGCATGGATAAATCTTTCACAATAAGATCATTAAGATGCATTCAAAAAACAGAATTGCCATTTTGTGCCAACTTTAAATGGTAGATGTTGAATCCCAGATTTTTAAACCCCACTGTATCTTTTATGGCAAGTAGTGGCAAGTTTTAGGTAGTTCTTACTTATCCTTGGAATCCTTCGACTTAGTGTGTCCTGCTGGCTTTTCCCATCTGTTCTTCTCTGTTTCTCCGCTGTCTCCTTTATCTTTCAGTCTGTCTGAGTCCACGTCATCATCTCGATCACATTTCTTCAAAAGCTAAAGAAGTCAATATTGCAAATCTCATGTAATGACTGGTTCAGTACATTACTGACAATGACATGGGGAAAAACAGTCCGTCATGCTCAATGTCCGAAGATGATGATGAAGTTCAAAGACTAATGTAAAACAAGGTTTATAGACAAATCCAAATACAAGTAGGCAATGTGAAATAGTGTGCTGAACGCAACAATACTGGAAGAAATGAGAAGTGAAAATAGGGCAACTTAAATACAGGGCAAACAAGGGAAATAATGACAAACACCTGTGCTGATTAAATTAATCACCATGAAACTAAGACCAAAATACATGAAAGTCTGTACCACAGTCATCTTCAGGATGTGATATGGTTTTAAGTCATACCTTGATCTTTATCTCCTTTTCAGAGAGCTTCTTTTGCTTTTCAGCCTCCTTTCGCTTTCGTCTCTCCTCTTCTCTGCGCTTCCGCTTCTCCTCCTCCCTCTGTCGCTTCTTTTCCAGTTCCCTCCTTCGCCTCTCCTCTCTTTTTTCCTCTCTTATTCTCTAGAATTGAAAAGAATCATGTATATACAGTACAAAATCATAGTGTATAACATGCAATTAGATGATGTTCTTACCTGTTTCTCTAATTTCTTGTTTTTGATGTATTCCAGCAAAGGTGTTGTCCTTTTGGCTGCACATAAAGTCACACAGAGGGAAAATAGAGCTTAGTTTATGGTCAATTTTAATGGAACAATTTGTTCCAGCTGAAAATTCTGAATAGCGGTTTTCTGTTGATGAGCAAAATAACATCTATGGCAACATGTGTTTTGAAATCACACAATAGGATCAAAATTCACATTTGAGGAATGATTGTGTTAAGTAGTAGAACAAAAAATAAGAATGTACTCGGTTACTAACGTAACCTCGGTTCCCTGAGATATGGGAACGAGTACTACGTCTGCTAAGACGCTATGGGAAAACTCCTTTTTCTCCGATGACTGAAGCCTTTTCAATAACGCAGTGTAACTGTACAAGCCTATGGCGATGAAGCCCGCCAGAATGGGCGGGGAAATCTGGCTATATAAGCAGGCATTTCGCCATAGGATCCACAGGTTACTTCGATTGAAGCAATGACTGAGTTGTGCAGCTACATAGCATGGCCAGCAACGCAGTACTCGTTCCCGTATCTCGGGGAACCGAGGTTACATTCCCTATCGATACTTCACTGGTACTGCGTCTGCTAAGATGCTATGGGGAACCAGTACAATCCCGCCGTGCTATGCTAGAGGAACCACTAATACTTGAACTTGCCTTAAGCACCCAAGGGGTCCCAGAGGGACCAAGTATTTTGGAGGGAAGCCCCGCAGGAGGCAATAGGGCCAAACTCACAGAGGTCGGCCCCGCCCGGAGCAATCGTTCGAAGAGAAATTCGTACAGCTTCGGAACTCAGTGAGGGCCAAGAGCGTACAGGAAAGAAGGCAAATGCCTAAGCACTGGTTGTCATATGACAAGAGGGAGCCCATTTATGCAGACAGGACTCGGGCCTGAGATGTCCAGATTATAAAACTTGGCAAATGTGGATGGCGAGGCCCAGCCGGCCGCTGCACAATTTTTGCAATGGACACACCGCTAGACCAAGCCCAGGAAGAGGCGACGCCACTAGCTGAGTGGGCTCTTACTCCCATGGGGCATTGTAGGCCCAAAGAAGAGTACGCTAGCGCAATAGCATCAATTATCCATTTGGAAAGTCTCTGCTTCATGACCATAAACCCCTTGGTGCAGCCACCGAAGTATACAAATAGCTGATCCGACTGCCTGAACGGGGCGGAACGCTCAATATAAACTCTCAACACCCTGACGGGGCAGAGTAAATTCAACTCTTGGTCTTGCTCCGAAGGAGGAAGCGCCCATAGACTTATTACCTGTGCTCTGAACAGAGTAGAGAGCACCTTAGGTATGTAACCATGCCTTGGCTTCAGGACGACTTTAAGAGTCGCTGGGCCCGAATTCGAGGCAGGTGGGGCTCACAGAGAGCGCCTGCAGCTCTCCCATACGCTTAACCGATGCTAACACCAGTAGCAGAGCGGTTTTCAGCATCAGGGGACGAAGGTCAATGGACTTTAGCGGCTCAAAGGGAGGGCTCTTCAGAGCCCTCAACACCGTGGACAGATCCCATATAGGGACGGTGACGGAGCGAGGCGGGTTGAGCCTCCTAGACCCCTTCAAAAACGAACAACTAGATTGTTCCTGCCCACCGACTGGCCAGCTATAGGAGCGTGAGAGGCTGCTATGACTGCTACATAGACCTTGAGTGTGGAAGGGGAACGACCCTTATCCAACAGCTCTTGCAAGAAGGACAATATCAGGGATATGTCGCAGGAATTTGGGTCTGCGCCGCGGGCTGTACACCAGGCAGAGAAGACAGACCATTTAAGGGTATAGAGGCGTCTGTAGACGGTGCTCTTGCCTGAGAGATTGTATTTAGTATGCTCTCTGGGAGGTCCACAAGCTCCCATCGAGAGGCCAAAGATGCAGAGCCCACAGCTCGGGCCCGGGGTGCCATATCATTCTGTTAACCTGAGAGAGGAGGTCCCGTCTCAGGGGGATGGGCCACAGGGCTGCTGAGACCACCCTAGCGATTTATATAGGACACCACCGTCATGCTGTCTGAGCGGACTTAAACATAGTGTCCCCTTAGGTCTGGCAGAAAGGTGCGAAGACCCAAACATACTGCCAGCATTTCCAGGCAGTTGATGTGAAGCCGACCCTCCTCTTTCGACGAGTGGCCAAAAGCCGGTTTGCCGTCGCATAGCACTCCCCAACCTGTGTTGGAAGCGTCTATCGAGACCACCTTCCTTCTGCAGACCATTTCCAGGGGACCGCCCCTTTCCATCTGAAGGTCTTTCCAAGGGGCCAGAGCTGCTACGCAGGCCTGGTCCACCTTGATACGAAGGCGTCCGAGATGCCAGGCGCGGGACAGAACTCGTGGTCGCATGCGAAGCGGGCCCAACAGAAGTACCGGAGACGCGGAGGCAAAGAGGCCCAGCATCTTCTGAAATGCCTTAAGAGGGCAAGAGGCTCCAACTTTGCATAAGGCCGCGAGCTGCTGAATGGCCAATGCACATTCTGGCGTGACTACCGCCCTCATTTGGGCTGAGTCGAGAACTGTTCCCAGGAACGATATCCGTTGGCTGGGGAATAGCACGCTCTCAAAATTGACCCTGGGTCCCAGTTATTCTAAGTGGCTGAGGAGGAAGGATCTGTGAGATAGTAGCTCACCCTCCGACTGGGCCAAGATAAGCCAGTCGCCGAGGTAATTCAGAATGCGGATTCCCATCTGTCTCAGCGGGGAAAGAGCCGCATCCATTCACTTCTTAAAAGTGCGAGGAGCTAGGGACAGTCCAAAGGGAAGAACCGTGTATTGATATGCCACTCCTGGATGTGAAAGTATGCATCTTTCAGATCCAGCAAAAAGAACCAGTCCCCAGGGCACACTTTCGAGAGGATCTGTTTAAATGTAATCCTCCTGAACGGCCATTTCATGAGGGCGCGGTTCAGGTGCTTGAGATCGAGGATGGGCCTTAGGCCGCCATCCTTTTTGGGGACGAGGAAGTAGTGGCTGTAGAAGCCTGACTCGCTCTGAGCTGGGGGAACCATTTCTAAGGCTCCTTTCGCCAGCAAATTCATCACCTCTGGGCGCAGGACGTGTGCATCTTTGCTCTGGACCAAGGTGGGAACCACGCAGCTGATTCGCGGGGGTCTTCGAGCGAATTGCAGTGAATAACCTCGTTTTATTATCCCCAAAACCCATTCTGACACTCCGAGGATGGCCTGCCAGGCCTCTGCCCATGTGACAAGGGGATGGATTAATTAGAGTGGCTGGTCGCCGTACGGGGACCCCACACTCGTGATAAACAGAAGAGGAAATTCGTTATTTGCCCGCTATCACAGCGGATAGTTGAATGGGCGCATGAACGGGCCCAGTATTCACAACGAACATATCGCCTTAGGCACCCAGAAGTGAACGGGGTACCTTCAAAAAATGCTTCGCTAGACTTAATGCTCTCGTAGCAAAAGCAGTCAGCCCCCGTGCGTGCTGCCTCAGCGTGGGCCAGACGCGTCCAATCTGAAGCTGTCAGTGATAATAATAATTAGTGACAGCATTCTCCTTTAATCCACCTAAAAAGATCAAACCGCTCATTAGAAGAGGGGGTACTGATGATCTTTATGTGTAAACACACCGGCAGATCAAAAGTCCTGCACGCATTCTCTCAGATCTGCTCGTAGCAGATGAGGGGAGGGGTGGGGCCACCTTCATTGAAGAAGGCGAGCCGCGAGCAAAGCAGAGCGAGACATAAACTCTCGTAGTGAGAGCGGTCTGTCTCAGCGAGCGCAGCCTCAGCGTGGGCGTGGCCCAGCCGAGAGGCGCATTCAAATACGAAGCTGTCAGCGATATTCAGTGGTGCAATGTAACGAAGTAATAATACTTCGTTACAGTACTTAAGTATTTTTTGGGAGTATCGAGCCGCCTTCAATGAAGAAGGAGAGTCGCGAGCAAAGCAGAGCGAGACATAAACTCTCGTAGTGAGAGCGGTCTGTCTCAGCGAGCGCAGCCTCAGCGTGGGCGTGGCCCAGCCGAGAGGCGCATTCAAATACGAAGCTGTCAGCGATATTCAGTGGTGCAATGTAACGAAGTAATAATACTTCGTTACAGTACTTAAGTATTTTTTGGGAGTATCTGTACTTTACTTTTATATT